AGAGAGAGAGAGAGAGAGAGAGAGAGAGAGATGCAAAAAATTTAATCTAGCTCAACGATCAAAGCGGCACTGAACGACTATGACAGGGGTCAATGGGGGTCAGAGCAGGGGGTTTATTGGGGTGGCCGTAACGATAGATTTCAATTTAAATGCCGGAACAGTTTTTTAAAATTTAGTAAGTTAAATTTTTCCTAAATGCTCAAGTGGTTTTGTAATAATATATTTATTGGGTCTACAGTTTCATCATCGTGAAAATTGTGCCGCTTCAATTAGCCAGATCACTTTCACTCTCTCATGTGATCTCTCTCTCTCTCTCTCTCTCTCTCTCTCTCCTTATCTCACTCCCGGACTGAGTCACCAGCAATTGATTGCAACCATAAGTCTTATGTTACAAACGGATAGTCTATACTCGGTATTGACTACTCGTATGTCTAAACTATTTAGTTTTCAATACTAAATATTAGTTAATTTTGTAACTAATTTAAATTTATCATAATTAAATATGAAATAAATTATTTGCCACAGAATTTGTTTCCACAAAAACAAAAAATATGTATAATTTTATTATAATTTTTATGCAAACATCTATTTTAAATATAAAGAGACGAGACGTTTATAGATATACAGTATATAAAAGGCGTTTACAATTAATAATTCATTTAATAATTACTTAATAACAATGAGATTTGTGTTTTGCATATCATATATACGGCGAATACATTCATATAATATCGATATAATTAAAAGTAATTGATTAGATGGGAGGGGAGGGAGAGGGGGACGGGTAGGTGTAGGGAGCAGGGGCTCCGGGTTTAATGATGGTATGTATTTATATGTGTGTTGTATATTCATTGTACATATACTGCATTTGTATGGCTGAGAGGCTGAAAGCACTCTCAAGGCGTTTACAATTAAATATTAGGTATAGAAATACATGTAACTTATAATTAAACATAATAATTAACGGGTGGCCACAACTCCTGATGGCCGCCAACGCCCGGCGACGACGTGCTAAACGAATACTCAGTTTTCAGCGGCTGGCCGTAGGCCTGGGAGGGCAACAACATGGTCGGACCGGCCACCGTGGCTATAGGCCCGGTGGGCGAGGGGCTGAAATAGGTGGCGCCGCCCGACGTGGTCACAATGCTCGGCGCCGACACACCGCTGGCCGCCAATTGTTCGGCACTATAAACGCACGGCGAGGGCGACGAGTGGTAGTACGTGGGCGGCGATGATGAGGGGCAGCCCGTTGTGCCACCACCGGAGCTACTGGTGATGGGCGTGTGGTGTTGACCACCGATTATACATGTCTGTCCGCCACCGCCGGCGCCCACCAGCGAGTCGGTGGTGTATATGGCGTGCGGGGGACTACCGGTGCTGGTATAGTACGGGGAGCCACCGGTGGTGGTTGTGGTGATGGCCATCGGATCGCCGCCATTGTTGGACAGGTAGGCGTCGGGCAGTCCGTGTTGGGGAGGGCTGGACGTAGACGTGGCGAACATGTTTACTGTGGGCCCCAACGACATCGACCCGAGCGGTGGCATATCGTACGTATAGGTAGGCTGTCCACCGCCACCGCCCCCTCCGCCGCCCATAGGATTGCCAGCGTTTCCCAGCGATGTGTAGCCGACGTACGGATTCTGGGCGTAGGGTTTAAGCGCCTGGCGTTTGAGTCGGAAGCCGCGCGGGCGGCGCCTGAACGAGCCCTCCTCGAACATATACTCGCTGGACGGGTCTATTGTCCAGTAGTGGCCCTTCCCGGGCCTCCCGATACCCTTCTGGAGCTTAATAAAGCACTCGTTGAGCGACAGGTTATGTCTGACCGAGTTTTTCCAGCCCTGGTATGAGCCGCGAAAAAACGGGAACTTTTGCTGCAAATACGTGTAGATCTCCGATAGGGTCAGGCGTTTGGCCGGCGATTGTTGTATAGCCATCACTATGAGCGCGATGTATGAGTATGGTGGTTTTTCTTGTCGCCGCACCCCTGAGCCCGATTTTTTGGTAGTCGATACGGTCTCGTCGGCCACGTCCATGATTTTTGATGATGGTGTTATTGGTGTGGGTGGGTGTGTGTAGCACAGGTGTAGACCCGGTGCTTGTGGTGGGTTGCTGTCGATGGTGTGGGCGCACAGAATATTCTGATCGATAATATATCAGTCACTTATGTTTTGTTGAAAAGTTTTAAACAATATTAGGCAACTTGTATTAAAAAGTTTTTAACTTTTTGGTTTTAATAAAAGTCTGTCTCTCTTTTATAGCTCTCCCTTATACTCTCTCTATCGTTAATACACAGTATGTATAATAAGCACTGGTAGTGTCAGTGTGTGAGATAGTGGTGCACACATTAACATGTCTTACATTTATATACTGTATGTATAAAAGTTTTATAGAGATTTGTCTCTCACTTCACTTTTAGCGTCTATGAAATGTAAGTGAAGACTAATCTCTCGTTTCGTTTTGCTTTTGCTCTGAGTTTTGATTTTTCTCTCCTTTTTTTGGCTCACAATTTGACGCTCTATTAGAAGAGAGAGAGAGAGAGAGAGAGAGAAAGAGAGCAGCAAACATATAGTGTGGGGCAGAGATCGTTGACGCGCACCAACACTACAGCAATGCCTAAATGGATAGACATATAGAGAGAGATATAGAGGGATGAGGTATAGGGAAAGAGATAGAGAGGGACGGGAGGGGTAGGCATACTGGAGGTTAGGGTGCGATAGGCCTGTGCAATACACCACATTACACTGATATGCATATATACACATAGCTTTCTCTCTCTCTCTCTCTCTCTCTCTCTCTTTTATAGCTCTCCCTTATACTCTCTCTATCGTTAATACACAGTATGTATAATAAGCACTG